AGTTGACCCCTTCCGTCCCTCCTTTCGTCATAGCCCCCCCTACCCATCCATCAAGCAGCAGCAGAGGTGGCAGCGTGGGCATGTGCGATATTGTAGAGCAGTGCCGGTGCTGCTAGGAGTGCTCCCAGGAAGGCCGGGAGGCCTAGGACCAGTGGTGATGTGGGCTGGGAGGATAAGGCGCCTTGCAGTGAGGCGAAGAGGACGTACGAGAGAATAGCTGGGGGATCGTGTGGGCGTAAGCAAGAGGGGAGGAGGGTGGGTGGGAGGAGAGGAATGGAGGAGAGAAGGGGTGGGAGGAGAGGAGAGAAGAGGAAAGGCGGAGTAATCAACAATGAGTGTCAACGATAACCAATTGAGCTTTAGGAGTGACGATAATGTGTGCTTTGAAATTTTCTCTCCACACTAATGACAGCAACAATGCGATGCTTCTCACCCATCATGGTGTGTGATGAGGGCAGGAGGGCAGGAGGGCAGGAGGGCAGAGGTTTTTGAGGCTTTTGGTGGCAGCAGTGGCATGTGCTTCTCACTGGTGACGGTGTGCGAGGAGAGTGCAGAAGCGCCCTGCCCTGCTGTAATATGTGATGGTGATGGTAGAAGCACGGTGGCAGCAGTACAACATTATTCTCACCGGTGATGGTGTGCGAGGAGAGGACAGGTTGCGAGGGCAGGAGGGCGGAGGCGAGCGCAAGGGTCGCAGCAGCGAGCAGCGCGGGAAGCACGGCGGGGAGGGAACGGGAGAGCAGCAAGCGGACCGCCGCAGAGACTGTAAAAGAGAAGGGCGAGGAGGGAACTTTTGAGACGCCTCAAAGCACGGCGGGGAGGGAACGGGAGAGCAGCAAGCGGCCCGCCGCAGAGACTGTAAAAGAGAAGGGCGAGGAGGGAACTTTTGAGACGCCTCAAAGCACGGCGGGGAGGGAACGGGAGAGCAGCAAGCGGGCCGCAGCAGAGACTGGGAAGAGAGGGGGGAGGAGGGAAGGATTGGGGAGTTTTCGTTTAGTCACGAATCGAAGATGACCTGGCGATCCAAGTAACAGCAGAGAAGGGGAGGACAACGGGAGAGAGGAATGTGGGGGAGGGAGTTATCTGGGCGATAGCAGGGCTTGGGAGGTAGAGGGATTTGGGACTGGGAGATAGGGGAAAAGTGGGCGCGGAGCAGTGAGCAGGGAGCAGTGAGCAGTGAGCAGTGAGAATCAAGCGGGGTACCAAGAAGCTCTCGTACAGCATCTGTTGCAATGCAAACACGGATCGCCTCACTGCATACATCAAACACTCACTCCTCTTACTTGCCTCTAACCGCTCTTATTCACCCCCCTCCCCCTACCCTCTCCTCCCTCCCTCCTCGTTTCCATGTGTAATTCCCCCTTCCCTTCCCCCTCTCCCCCACGGTCCTCGTTTCCCCCAACCCCTCCCGCCCGCCCCTATCCCCCCACGCGCGCACCTGCAACAGCGACCGCCACTGCCCCCACAGAAACCCACACGCGCGCCAGCGACCCCGCCACTCCCCCAAGCCCCCTCTCCGCCCATCCCCACAGGAACGCCCCTCCGCGCTCCTTGACCGCGGCCTCCGCGGCGGAAAGAGCCGCGGACAGCAGGGGCGGCGCCGCGGGGGAGGCGGAAGCGGAGGCGGAGGTGGAGGAGGGGGAGGCGGGAGTCGGCGGCGCGGGGGAGGCTGTGGGTGCGGACGGTTTAGGCGGCGCCACGTGCGCCGTGGTTAGGCGAATGCCGTACGGCTGTGGGCTGACATAGCTGGAAGAGACGGCCGCGGGCGGGAGAAGGGGGGCGGGGGGAATGCAGTCGGGGGCGGGGGAACGAGAAGGGGACGAGAAGGAATGAGAGGGTATGAGAGGGTATGAGAGGGTATGAGAGGGAATGCGAGGGAATGAGAGGGTATGAGAGGGAATGAGAGGGGACGAGGGGGACGAGACAGAAGGAGGGGGGCGAGAGGGGATGAGAAGGGATGAGAGGGGCGGGGAAAAGTGTTCAGCGACGGATTAAGGGCAGTGGATCTGCCAGCATCAGTCCATGTGAATATGATGGATGTGCTGTAAGAATCACAGTGACGAGTTTATGTACTGCTTGGTAGATCACAGCGCTTGTGAAAACTAGTAGGTACTCTCTTGTAGAGTAGGATCTACGGAAACCAAATCTGGAGACTCCAGAAGCAGCAACGGATGGGAGAGAGCAGAATCCTTTCACGCAACGATCACCGCCCATGCGACTGTGTGCGACGAATATCACCTCCTGGGCGATGCATAGTCGCCTGAAAGAAGGGTGATTTTGAGACGTCTCAAAACCACTCCGTGCGACGAAGCTCACCTCCTCGGCGATGCATAGTCGCTCGGAGATTGATATGACCACGGGTTCCGGAAATCAATCTTCGAGTCGCCGCGCTTTGGACCCTGCTTCGTCTTTCCCCCGCCAGAAGCGCCTGCCGCAGGGATAGAGTAGGGCCGGGCAGCAGGGACATGACTGCCCACGGTTTTCGCCGCATCTTCCGCCGCAGGGCTCGAGTAGCCTGGTATGCCGTAACTCGGAATCGTTGCCGTTGCTGTCGTCGTTGCCGTTGCTGTCGTCGTTACCGTTACCGTCGGTGTTCGCTTGTTGACGCGACGAGGGTAGTGCCCTGAGAGTCGTAGTAGGTTTGGCGAAAGACTAGACGGAATCGCTATCGGGTTCAAAGTGCGAGTCTGACTACTAACGCGCGACGGCCCTGCGCCGGGAGCAGCGGATTCCGCCGAGGGTAGTAGTAAGCAGCGGGAGGAAGCGGAAACGGCGAAGGACGTTCGCGCGTTCTGAGACGACGTGAAAGATCCGCAGCCACCATGGCCGGAAGTCGCGGCGGGCTGTGCGGAGGCGAGGGGCGACGCGAGGAAGCCATTGTGTACGGCACCGTGGACTGCCATTGCGCACGTCGGGAGTACTTTCCTACTGCTGCTGTAACAGCGGTGGCGGCAGCTACGTACCGACACGACTGGAAACTGTGGTTGTGGAGGAGCCTGGCGCTCTGGTGGCGATGTACTGGAATCTGCTACAGCAAGGGGAGTTGGGCTCTGTTTGGAACGACTGGAGCCAATCAATAAGGGGAATGGTAGGGCTGGTTTGAAATAGATTGTTCATTTGTTGTGTGAGCTTTTCCTCGCATACGGGGACTGGGGGAACGGGAAACGGGAATGTCGGATGTGAGGGGAGCGGATGGGGGAAGGCTAGCGAAGCAGGGGGCATTGGCGCGCCACATTTTGTTGCGCACCATACTGGGTTGGGGCGGGGAGGGAACGGAAGAGGTGTTTGTTGGGCTGGCATGCGCGGAGAGCATCGATGTGGAATCGCGCTGCGAGAGTCGAATTTGCGATCCGCGAAATTTATGTGAGATCGATGTGCGAGGAAGGCAGTGGAGTAAATGCCATGTCAGCGTGAATCATCGGGAATCTCGATTAATGGCACGTGGCAGAAGGAAAGGAAGTATCATCATTCAGACCCAAGAAAGCTTCTCGTCACTCATCACAGTCGATCCTCGATTGAAGGATCTGAACAACGGGGTACAATGCGTCACAAAATGCACCCAGAGAAACAGGCAGCTCGACAACAGCGCGGTGGGCCTTAAAAGCATGGAAAGCAGCACCGGAGGACTGGAAAACGGTACTCCTGTCGCAACTGACTGGAGAAGAGGTTATGAAGCTGACGCAGCTGGCCAGCACGCGGTCCCTGGCAGGGAGGATTATGTATTGGCAGCTGCTGTCAACAGATGGTCGCGGAATCCTCGGAACGCCTGCGGAGGTGGGAAAGAACGGAGAAGTGCTGCTAACGAACAGATCCAGCCCGATTCGACTCGAACTATACAGACTGACCCCGCTGATTGTTGAGGAGGGCAGACTGGTGGGAGAAGCGGGCCTCCCGCTTTCACGTCTGAGGCTGTCGATGCTCTGTGAGAAAGGGCAAAGCGCATCACTAAGGCAGCTGCGAGCAGAACTGAAGGGACCAGTTGAGCAGCCGAAGCAGCAGAGGAAGTGGGAGGAGGAGTATGGGAGATCAATTGACTGGAAAGGTGCCATACGAAAACGGGACACTTTGGTCACGCCGGGCAGAGCAAGGGAAATTATCTTGAGGCTACACTGCAAAAACCTCCAGGTGGGAGACAGACTGCACTTCATGACAGAGCACATCAGCTGCCCGCACTGCAAGAAGGACGAAACCCTTGCGCATTGTCTGCTTGAATGTGAAGTGTTACAGCCTGTCATCGGCGCGCTGAAGGGGGCGTTGAAGCAGATGAATCCAAACCGGGAGGTGGGGAGGTTAGAAGACTTCCTGTTCGCGGAAGATGGCACGAAATCGGGCTTTCCGGAAAAGCCGTTGATAGCAGTGGCATTTCACCAGGTGTGGCTGGAGAGATGCGAGGCGGCTTTCCGACAAGACACGTTTCAGCCTTTGAGGGTGCTTCGGAGGATTGGTGTGAACTTCATGAAACATGTCAGGATATACAGTGCCCACAAACAACACGTGGCAAACATCAGCAAGCAAGGAGGCGGGCAGAGCTGGGCCTCTTTGGAGCGGGACGAGGCTGTAGTGCTGAGCCGAATCTTTCAAGATGAAGACACGCTGGCGTGGAAGGATGGCTTTAGATCGGTGTGGTCCAACCCGAGAACAGCCTTCCAACCACCTTAAAGCGCTAGCGGAAGGGCACTGTAGATGTAACCGCTTATATAAGTGTAATGCATCCTTAAAAAAAAAAAAATACACCCATTCATACTGGCACAATTAGCGAAATTCAACCATACACCATGCTCAGCATCAAGGCTGAAGCTTTTTAGTCCCTCCGACATTCCGCCAGCCCCACTGTTTCCACTTCTCAGCATAAGGGCTGTACTAGCTTTTCAGTCTGGGACCGCGATTCGTGTGAAAAACAGTCACTCAGACTGCTTCGCAAGCGATCGTTCTGCGCCGCACGCTCGGGCGCTTGGCGGCAATGGCGACGGCGAACACCTTCTACTTTCCCCCGTTCGCGAATGCGACTCCGACCCGATTGGAGAATATCGACGCGGCACGCATGTCTGGGCCGCATAACGTGGCTGCCACGGCTCGCACGGTCCCCCATTTCCGTCAAGAGTTTAATTCGTTGACGAGAAATAGAAATCAAAGACGAATACAATTAACCGTCAAGTCAGCCCAATTGAACCGACGGTCGTTATTCACCCTAAGAATCCAATGTGCGGGATCGTCCGACGATAATATCAGCCGCGCATCTTCCCACACTCCCCAAATCCCCTCCACCTCCGCGCCATCTCCTGCCACTCCTCCTCTCAGCCCTCCGCCAAGCGTTTCCTCCAGTCCTTCCGCCAGCCCGTCCGCGCGCCCTCCGCTCGGCCCGCCCCCCGAGTACAGCGATTCCTTCACTGATCTCCTCTTCATCCACCTTTGCCGCCAAGCCTTCGGGCGCGTGGCGCAATGGCAGTCCGCGCGCCCGTGGGCGGAGGGCTACCTGGGCATGGTGGAGGTCTCCCGCGCGCTCATGCGCGGGCGCTCCGCGGAGGCGCAGCGGTCCGCGGTGCTGCAGGGCTTTCCGCGCGTCCCCGCGTGGTTCCGCCGCGCGTTCCCCTTCTCGCACTGGGGCGCGGAAGCCAACGCGGCTATCACTCCGCGGTTCTTCTCCTGGCTGGTGGGCCCATGCCACGTGGAAGAAGCAGAGATTCCCGCGGTTGACGAGGGGGAATTTCGCAGCGGAGCAGCGGGGGAGGGGGAGAAGCGGGAGAAGGGGGAGAAGGGGGAGAAAGGAGAGGTGGGGAGTGGGGCAAGGGGAAAGATGGTGAAGTTGCAGTGTGGTGTGAAGATAGAGAGGTGTAGATATCTGGAGACGAGTGGGTGTGTGGGAATGTGTGTTAACCTGTGCAAGATGCCCACTCAGCACTTCTTCACGCATGAACTCGGGTACGTTACCGCATCACAGCGTTACCATGTTTCATCGTTCTGGCGAGACTGGGTTACCGTGTTACTGCGTTAGGGCGTTACGGCGCTAACACGTTACAGAATTACAGCATTTTAGTGCTTTATGATGGGGGGCGAAAATGCTATAAGGAGGTGGAAGGGGGCGTATGGGAGGAAGGGGCTGGAAGGTGGGGTAACTGGAATAGGACAGGTACGGTGAGTAAAGGAGTGTTGCATGTCTTATGCCGGCACTGACTAGTGGAATCATCTATCTCATTTTCTCCTCTTACCATGTCTTCCCCTCTCAACCCCTTCTCCCCATGCCAGTGTTCCGCTCACTATGGAACCCAACTTTGAGGACTTCAGCTGTCGCATGGTGTTTGGCCTTCCTCCTCCACTCCCATCCTTGGACCCTGCTCTCCAGCAACCATGCACAGCCACGTCATGCCCTGCAGCTAGATTAGATACCGACGAGCCATGTCACCAGCTTCAGTGACATCCTTGTTGTGACATCCTTATTTACTTCCTACGTTACACCAAGTGCAGAAGTGATGGAGCATGTAGCATTGCCGAGTGCCTCATCTCCTTCCAATGTGCCGGTAGTCCGGTGAGCAGGTTCAAGGTGAAAGTATCTTCATCCGCCACCTTCCCTGCGAGTGCTAACTTGTCCTGGATTGCTGTTGCGCGGTGGACGTATTCCTCCACCCTTTCCTCGCTCCCCATTTTCAGGTTGATGCGGTAGATGCATTCACCGTCAGTAACGTTGCGTACGGAGTGCAATTTCCAAAAATACTTAGCCCTTATCAGACTTACACGCCCAAAACACGTAATAACATAATGATTGTGCACACATACGAAGGTTGAAAGTTGTTGATGATAGGGTTGAAGGAAGGTTTGCTGGACGGAAACGTATCTCTACCGGAACTCGTGTAAAAAGGTTTTGCATATCGGGTATCGACGCTCAGCTTCGAGGTTGGAGACCTTGCGTACACAGCAGGCGAACAAAGGCGATGGGCGGCTAGCCGTTTTGGCGCGAGAACTCTCCCAACCAGCCTTCATGCGAAAGGGGGAACAGAAGCCGACCAGCGAAATCGAATGGCCATGTGTAACTGTCACTGTTGGAGCATCCTTCCGACCAATCTCTAGGTGCCTTGTACGCGCGCCGCAAAACATCCGAACCGCTATCTGCCGATCGCGATGTGCAAGTCGAATCGAAACCCGCGAATTTGTCGACAGCCTGATTTTGGTGGAGGTTGGGGCATTGCGGGTATGGAGGGCGGATAGAACATATTGAGGGCGGTCGGATCAGATGCAATGAGAGTAAGAAGGGTGTGGAGGCTGCTGCTGAAGACATCTGGGTGAACACGTAGGACTGAGTGAGGGAGTACGAAATGCATGAGGCGCGAGCCTGAGGGAGGGCGTGCTGCTGGGTAGAGCCGGAGTGACCTATTCGTGCCCGCCCGTCACAACCGGCTCGCATCAAACCTGCAGAGATCCATTGGTCACTTCCCGCGAAGCTTGTGCGTGACGTACTGAACGAGGTACAAAGCGCCTCGGGAATATAAACTATATATGCCACCTCTTGCTACACTCTCGTCATCGTCATTTACATCCCCTGTTGGCATCGCCGTTTACCGCAGCCTAAAGTATACTTACTGATTCGACACGATAAAGAGCTCACAGGCTGCACGCACTTCTGAGCTTCACATTCGCCCATTAATTACTCGAGCTTGTAGCAGATAGTATCAAGACAGTTACCACTCGCCCCGTCGTCGCATCACATCATGGCTTCGCACTCGGATCTCGTTCTTTCGACCATTCTCGCGGCCGTCCTCCTCACTGTCGCGTGTGCGACCCATGCGACAGCAGCAGCGACCCCTGGTGCGACACCTACTTCACTCTACCAGCCTCTACACCATTCTTCGGGACTCGTTAAAAGCACTTGGCTTGCCGTTGCGCCGTGTTTGATGCTAGGAGGGATGTCGTACATCCCAACGGGCTCTTCAGCACATCTTCACTCTCTTACTCCCATACCCCCTTACCTTCTCCCCTACTTGACTGCGACTCTCCCGCGTCTCCACCTTATGGCAGATCAATGCGCCGCGGTGCGGTGCATGACGAACCGCAAGTGCAAGGTGGTGGACGGGTCCGCGCGGTGCGTGTGCGAGCCGCCGTACTACCTCGACGGGGACGAGTGCAGAGGTGAGCTGCCTTCCGGATCAACGTCGCATAGAATCGCGGTGCTGCATGCGCGGTGCAGCGCGCGACCACAACCAGTATAATGATGGTGCCTGCCTAACCTACGCTGTACTGATCTCCTTTCTTTGTTGCCGCCACTGCCAGATCTGTGTCTGACGACCAAGTGCCCTGGCGGCACCACGTGCAAGGTGGTGCGGGACAAGGTCAAGTGCGTCTGCCCGCCCCCCCTCGTGCTCCGCAACAACGTGTGCTTCGGTGAGTGCTTCTTCGGTGTGTGCTCCCCGAAATCAAATCCCGTGAAACCGCGACGCTTCTCATTCAGAAACTGCGCGCTCCGCGCTGGTCCTTCAGGTCTGGCTGCCGTTGATCCCTGTTTCCTTCTTCTCGCTCGCCGCTCTTCTGCTGCGCCGCGATCCGTACCGTCACCTCTCTACCCGCTCGGTTTCCATACCCGTTGAGTCATTCATTGCTTGGCGTCTTTTCGTGCCTCTCGTTTCGCAGACCTGTGCGCGGCCACCACGTGTGCCGTCAATTTCGCATGCAAGGTGACGAATGGCACAGCCAACTGCGTGTGCCGGCCGCCGTTCTACCTCGAAGGCAACGAGTGCAAGAGTGAGTGTCCACTCCTATGATATCTCCCGTTCTATCTCCACTTTCCTGTATATTCCAGCATGTCTCCTCCTGACAGCGTCTATCCGTGCTCTTTCGTAGCCGCTTATCCCTTCCGTTATCCCCGTCAACAACGGTCCCTCTCTGCTCATGAACATCTTATTGATATACTCGCCGATTGCGTTGATTGCCCTACCATTGTACTCTTGCTACGTGCAGACCGCTGTCTGACGACCAAGTGCCCCGGCGGCACCACGTGCAAGGCGGTGCGCGGAAAGATCGAGTGCGTTTGCCCTCCTCCTCAAGTGCTCAAGGGGACGCAATGTGTTGGTACGTCAAGTATACACTACACTTCCGAAAGCGTTCAGTTATTTAGACGTAATCTATAACTGCCGTCCCATCTTGTTTGGATATATTACGTTCTTTGTTTCTATCAGCTCCAACCTCCTGCAGCAAAGCTCGCTGTCCCTCGACTTCCCGCTGCAACGTGGTTGCTGGTGCTGCCACGTGTGTCTGCCCTCGTGGTTTCACTCTGATCGACGGCGAGTGCAAGAGTAAGTAAATAATCGTCAGTACTATTCATATCTCAAATACATACGTTCCTTAGAGCAGTACCATTTATTTAGCTGGATGATTTCTGGGCATGTGTCCATGTTTCTGAGCACTGTCTTGTTGTATGGCACTGATGGTATATGATGAATGTGTGTGCTGAATCGACTTGTGTTTGTCGCCACAACGTTTCATTCAGATCCTTGCGCTACTGTGCTATGCGGTGGGAAGAAGACCTGCAAGGTCGTCGGTGGACAGGCCAAGTGTCTGTGACACGGAAGCTGAAGCTGAGAAGGGTACGCTAGGGAGGTAGCTAGATGATTAGCATTGTCCTTACACGCTGCTAAGGTTCTCACACGTTTCAGGAAGTAAATTGCTCTATTTCTCTGTATAAGAATTTATACATTCCAGAACTTGTTCCCAGACTATACAACCCATTCCACTTGCTGTTTGATACTCCCGCTAAACCAACATATTTCCACACCCTACTCCTTGGGCTGGGTGCGGTACTTGGACTCGTCAATCTCAATGCCCTGCTCCTTGGCAGCCTCCTCGCCGCTCTTCTCCATGGTGGACAGCCCACCCTTGCGTCCCATCTCCTGGTACCCCTCCCGCCCTAGATCCTCCGCTCGTGAGCGTCCTCCCTTAGCTCTCCCTGAAAGGAACAGAAGTCACGTTGGATAAAATTATGTGGAGACTTAAACTATGACCACCAGGACTTTTGCCTGTGAGAAATGGTGATGCTGTCAGTTGTTGCACCTACCTTCCGCAAGGTGGATTTGAGCTTCCAGAGATTTTCCTCCAGTGCCCCCCTGGACCACGGTCTCCCCCTCCTTCACTCGCTGCTCAAGCTCCTGCAAACGCGGATAGGATTCCAACCAATACGAAATATTAGAACCCATATTTTCAATTTCTTGCAAGTGACTTGCTATACTTCTGATAATGTAAAATGCAATGGAATAGATATTTTGCACCGTGCAGCACTGTAACGTAAGGTACAAGTGCCATGAATCTGTGTAAACGAGCGCTTCACTCTTGAAATGGAGTTAAAATATTCAAGCTTAGGAAGGTTGGTTGGGAGCAGGGCTAACTTTAGTAAAATGACCCGTCTGGCTTTAAGACCGGGTCCTGGCTCCTTGTCTGATTGTCAGACGAAAGTTGTAACATTGTCTAGCTTTTCAGACGAATCCCAAGTACTTATCTGAAATTTCAGACGAAGATATTTAGCTAGCAAGCAATGTATTCGCACAATATTAGATGGTACAGTTAAGTACCTCACATGAACATCCACCAATGGTCAGTCAGTAGGATCGGGATTTGTGAAGAGTGAGGTTCGGGTTCGAATCTTGTCGCCTGATTCTTCCACGCAGGTGCAGTCACCTTCTGGTTCGAGAAACTTTTGCCTTCAGACGAGAAATGACTCGATATCTGCAGTCTCAGACGAACGGTATAAGGATGTCTAAGAATTCAGATAAATACAAAAACATTGTCTTAAAAATCAGATGAGTTTAAACGGCATGTCTAGGCCATCAGATGAACCATAAAAAACGTGTCTGGAATCCAGACAAACAGACAAAATATTTCTGATAACGTAGGCCCTGGTTGGGAGTTGCTGGAGGAGGTGTTATAAATGTTAGAATAGAAACGAGAAATGGATGGACTAAGGGAAAGTTGGGTACAAATGTAAACCCTAGAAAACTGTACCCCATATGTGCTACCCCACTATAGCCTACAGTAGCTATGTCATATAAATCTGACACACCCCCATAGGCAAAGTGGGGGAGAACAAGGGGTCACAAGACCAGTCAAGCAAAGCAAAACAAGCTCAGGGTGGATCACAAAGTCACCACACATTCCGAGCACAAGTTCAAGGCCACAAGGCCAGTTCACATGCAGGATTGCATATATATATAAGGCTAGACAAGCAAGAGCAGGTGTATATATATATGCAACAGTACAAGCAAGGTCAAGGGGTGAGCAAGTGAGGCAAGGTAGGCACAAGACCCAGCTGAGTACAGAAGCGCTGATGATCACAAGGCGGAAGTGCCTTGGTGAAGATATCAGCAGTGTTGGCCTCAGAGGCCACGTACGCAAGCCGTAGCTGACCACGCTGCTGTAGCTCACGAGCAAGGAAGTAGC